CTTAATCTGTTTAAATTAGATTCTTGAACGTATTTTGGGAGAATAAACCGTCTATATAATTCGACGTTAGCGTAAAAACAAAATTAAAGCGGATAACAAAGACGGCAAACTCAGCTGTTTGGCAAAACGGCAAACTCAGCTGTTTTGCAAAACGGCAAAAACAGCTGTTCATTATTTTGCATATGATGCCACACACACATGGAAACCAATGATGTCAAAAAAAATCACCAACGATAGAATAGGATTTAATTTCGCTTCATTCTAGGCGGTACCATTTTTATATATTATGTGCACTCAATATGAATTTTGACATTTCGCCTTGGAAAATCGTTCTTGTTCTGCTTTCGCCTTTATAAGTCTCAGTTTTTTTATGAAAACTATATTTTGCGGAAATATTTTAGCAACAGGTTTTGGGAAGCTCTCAATAATTTTTCTGTCAAACTAAAAGAGATAGAATGATTCCGAATTGTATTTTTGGATGGCAACCTTGAAATAACCTTGAATTTGAAAAGTTTAAAAAATAAAAAAACTTGTGATTGAACATTGCCAGATCTTCTTTGAGAAATTAAAATTGAAATCTTGTTATTTACGGTAAAATATTTCATGAAAATCACCATTTTCTTTGATAAAGTTAAAGGATCAAAGTAAATTATACTTCTATTATTAACATTTTTTGTAAATTTTATTATTTAATTAAATAAAATTTTTAAATTAAAGAAAAAAATTTACAATTTAAATAATTAAATTAAACATAATGAAATTTTTTTTAATTTAATAACCACGATTTCTTTTAGCTACTTTATACTTAAAAGTGCATATAATAGACTATTACAGTACATACATACTTACATGCATATTTTTTCTATATTCGATAAAAGTTTTATCAAAATAGTTGTTGTGTTCAAAAAATTTTTGTTTGTTTTTTAATAAGATTGGTAAATATTTCATGTGCAACTAATTGGGATCATTATTATTTATTTTATTTATTCCTTAAGGGGGTCCCTTATGTAAATAATGTTAAAGGCTTTAAAATTTGAATGAATTTTCAAAATAAACTATGCATAAGTGAAAACAGTGGCGTATTTATTCTAGGATCAAAGGTTCGGGTATACGTCTACCGATTATGACAAATGCAGCACATTGTAAATTATGAAATCTTCGATGTCGTTTATCTGATCAGTCAATTTTTTGTAAACTATGAGCGACATTGTCTTGCCCGTGATTTGCTAATCAAATATGTCATTTGAATGCCACAGCCAAAGCCGATATTCAGTATAGAAGTCTTGTAAAAGGATATTAATCCTGGTCTTGTACTTCACCATATTTCGGAATATGAAGGTGACTATGTCTATTGTTAGAACTCGGCGTGGTTAAGTTTTTGGAGCAGTTCCAGATAACTTTTAAATTAAAAGAAATTAAAAAAATGTTACCGAATTCAATAATTTTACTTTTATCTTTTTATCGTACAAAACTCTTCATCATAATTCCGGAACATCGTATATTTAGATTGACGCTTCATTTATATTATGAAAAATTGAAACATTTCGCGTCAAATTTTAGAGTAAACTAATGTTTTACTGATTGGGTGGTTATGATTGAAAGTGATTATACTTTTTTTTTATTTTATTCTTTTGTAATTTCCGTTATTATTGAAATTTAATAATATTTGGTAAATTCATTTTCGTTGTCTTTCACTTATTCCAAATGCAAAATTTTTATAGTTTGTAATAATAAAATCGTGATTGACTATATTCTTTATGTATATAATGAAGTTGAATGGTGGAATTGAAAGAGAAAACCTATGAGAAATCTATTTTTTTTTTAATGAAATGGAATGTATACAAAAATACATTTTAACTCCTACGCTTCGTCTAAGAGTCCTTATGAAGAATTTATAATGATTTTAAAAAATTGTATTTGCAATACACAATTTTAATGTAATTTTTTTTTCTCACCATACCATATGAATATTGAAATATTTTTGAACTTTTTAAATCAGCAATATTCGTTTTATTTGTTTTTTAACATTATAAATTTATATCGTAAAATTGGCATATCAGATTATGAACAGCACATATAGGTACGTATGAAAAACATGCATACATGTTTGTGTAAACAAGCAAAATACAATAGAAATTATTGTGTATGTGTGTATGTAAAAATAGAAAATTTCAGGTTTAATTGATTATTATTGTTTATCGGAAGTTATTTTTTTTTCTCTATTTTGGTATTTAACGGAATAAAATATATAATAAACCAAAAACAAAATTTCCAAATTGGTCTAAAACATCATAATGTTGCCATTTATACACTTAATTTAAAAATGACAATAACAGTAAAATTTGTTGTCAGAACAATATGCATTTAAGATGACATTTAACATAATGAAATATCTAATAATATTAATAATAATAATTTATTTGAATTTTGTTTGATATTAAATTTTTGAAACAAAATGTGATATTAAATATAAAGTATAACGAAAATTATAAAAAATAAAAAAAGATAAACTAAAATTGGCAGAAGTTCGTCAGGAATTATGAACGCAAATGCTACAACAATATTGCTTCTGAAGCCCAAGCCACAGCCAAAAAAAATAAAATGAGCACTCTGTACAATAAAATAAAAGCACACGCCGAGATCAACATAAAAAATAACCGGCTAATCAAAGACAAAAATAGTAACCTATTGACCTACATTCCAGAACAACCACAATAATGGAAGAACACTTTGAAGAAGTTGGGTCTCCCGCAGAATTAAGCTCACAGCAAACACATACGCTCGAGCTCCGCAAATTCAACATCTCGGAATAAACACAGACCCTACAATACAGCGAGAACATAGTCAACAAGGTTGTGACACCTATAATCCAATAAAAAATTGAAATGAAAATAGAAGTAACTATGACAGAAGAACAAGCCGCATTCAGTAAATAAAGAAGATGCGTAGACCACTCAAAAACCCTAAAACTAATTGTGAAGCAGTCGATTAAATGGAAATCCCAATTGTACATAGTATTCATCCACTTTGAAAGAACGTTCGACACAGTAAAGCTGAATGAGTCAATAGCATCGAGTTTGGTGTAAAACAGTGATGCCTCTTTCCGCTGCTGTTCAACATAGCACTAGATGAAACGTTACGAAAGTCAACAACCATTCCAAGGGGCATAAAATTGACAATGGCCAAATAGACAAATAGAGGTGTCATTAGCCAAAAGATACATCCTATCAATTGTTTTAGAATAATGTAAAATTTTTGAATCTCGATTTTAATGCGCGTTCTTTTTGTTTTCTTCATGGTTTGAAATAAAGTCGAAGAAATGCTGCCACTTGAAAGGGTATATGATATAAAACTTTTATATAACATGAACTTGTAGAATTGAAGGTCCGACGATTATTATTTTTAGTCAGTTTTTTAGATATCATGGAGAAATATGTTTCCACCGAAAATTCGATACTATGTAAAATTTGGTGCCATTACATAATTTCTCTTATTGTATACAATGCGGTCGGCCAATATTGACATTAAAATTGAAGTATCCGTGTTATCCGCGTATGAAAATATTTAATCATTATTAAACGAGTGTTATATTTCATAATTTTTTTTTCTGTAATTTTTATAAAATCAATCCAAATACAATTTATGCTTGCAACATATAAGTGTACAAAAATTCCATTTTATAGTTATGTAAATTGTATTCAGTAAATCTAAGTATTTATAACTATAAATATATAATATACGTACATATGTAAGCATACATGCACGCACAAAAGCAAAAAGTTGTTTTTTCATACTTCTAAAACAAAGCAACGCAATTCATATGCACATATGAATTTTAATATTTTTTTGCTATATAAGTAAAATATGGGTAAGTATGTATAGATTCCCGCTGTTGTTCGAATATTAAAATAGTTTCCAATTTAAAAAAGAAGAAAAAAACATTATTTTTAATAAAAGTTGTTATGTTACAGGTCTCAGCAGCCCATATAACCAATAAATTTAAGTGTATCGCTACTAATTTGAATCGCACATTCATTATGTCACAATTTTTATATAGAAGTCAAGCTAGCAAATCTATACTCGTATGTATAAAATAAAAAATTTGAAACAAAGCAATCAGAAAAATTTCAAACAGAACAAAATTAAAAGGAAAAAAAATCATTGATAAATAAACTGATTTAAAAGTCATACTAAAAAACGCCTTAGCATCACTCTACTCTACTTATAATGTAAAAGTGATTGTATTTGTGAGTATGCATGTGTGATACAAGTGAAAGAAAATACATATTCCTAATTGAAAATGAGACAAAAAAGTAGAAAAAAAATAATTAAATAAAGTGTAAGAACAAATAAATTGGTCACATTTTAAGCATGGGTGGAAAAATCAACTTTAGCGTATGATGACAGTTAGCCACAGCATTCCACTTTATTTCTTTTTCTTTTAGGTTAAACACTTTATGATATTCAACAATCAGAGACACCATGTGTTCCGGTTATGATGTTAAAAGGCAATGAAATAGTTTAGCATGCAGTACATTCGTGCATACATAAGTATGTGGCGTTTTTTTTTTGTGTAGATAGAACCTATGGAGGTATTGAGGTATTGAATGGATTGTCATCCTGTCTTTTGAAAATCACCAGGACTTACATTTGAAAACCGATATCAAATTGTCCAAATATATTAATTGAACCACAACGGGCATACTTGACACTATAACAGGTAATGATGTTCGTGTTATTCGTTACATAAGGAGCAAAATTTCATTTATTCATTAAAGAATGTAAAAGTTGAGAGTAATTTCCAAAATGAATGCTGATTTTTTCCTTTATATAGGCTTGTGTATTAAGTATGTATATATAAGTTTATCGGAACTCAAAGTAAAATCTAAAATTTTAAAAACAATATGGTTTGAAATGGTAAATAATATGTGAAATATTATTGGAACGCAATCACAACTACATTAATCATAATCATAATATGGAAAATTTAATAAACTTACCAGAACTAGATATTCCAGATGTACTTGTGGAATGGCTAACAACTGATACATCACTCATTGAACCTAACCATTTTAAGGTTTCTGTTGATGATGTACTCTCAGAACTATTATTCTCAATATTGCTGTTATTTATATTATTAATATTATTATGATTGTTATTATTATTGTTACCAATATTCAATGTTGATAATGCATTACTACTAGCTGATAAATCACTTTGTGACCAACGGTGTGATGATTGTCGTGATAATAAATCACTTTCTTGGCGCAATCTATACAATACAAAAAAAACAAAGAAAATAAAATATAAAATTAATTAATGAAATTTACATTAATTTTACAAAAAAATTAGACATGAAGTTAATTTCAAAGAAATATCGAATGCGAATGTGAAAACGAAATCCTCCATAATGTTTACTGGCACTGAAGCAAACTCCACCGGATAAGTAACAGAGAACTTTCTACCTTTAAAACCTGCGCTAAGTAGCAGAAATTGTTGGCCTATAATAAGAACAGGAACGCACAATCAAAATGTTATCAAAAATTTCCAGACAACAGACAAAACCCTCATGCATTTGAACAAGTCAATTTTGTTAGAATTTCAAAATTAAACTTTTTTAAATTTAATTAATTAAATTAGAACGGAATATCAAAAAATTTAAGAATTGCACTTTCATTGCCTTAATTTTCTTTTTGCAATTCAAACCCACCACCATTCAACAATAACATGAATGTAAGGCAGCCAGAATAAAACAAAACAAAAAACAAACCTCATCATCAACATTTCTTCACCCATGCAATAAATACATAAATAACAAAATTAAAAAAACCTGTTATAATTGACCATACAACAACAAAAAAAATAAACTCTTTCTCATTTTTTACAATGAGGCTATAATATTCTGCAATGGGTTTGCTATTAATTAAAAAAATAATAAAAATCAAAAAATAAAAAAATTTTTTAAAATAAAACAAAAGTGCATAAATGAGACGAAAATGAAAAGCAAAGAAAATATAGACGGAAAAAAAAAATTCTGATTTTAAATCGGAACAAGAAATTTTATTTTCAGAATATGAAAAGGCTGTGCTAACACAAATATTGTATGTACAATAGGAACAACACAATTTCAAACCAATAATATACAAAAAAAAAACACACACATCACAAACATTTTTATTCTTTGAATCTATTTAATCGTTTACTTGGTTATTGTATGCGCTTTAGTATACCTACATACTTGTGTTGCTGTCAACGTTACCGTGCAGATATAGGAGAATGTAACAACTTCTTTTTCTTATATTTCCTCTTTTTCTTTTTGTATCAATTGTACAACTTTTTAGTTGAGAAATTTTTTTGTTTTTTTTTTAATGTTGTTATTGACGTCGTTTGTTCCTATTATTATTAATGTTATTTACTTTGTATATTTTGTATGTATAGAAATGTCTGAAGCAGCTTGCTGTCATGAATTATTTCAAATATTTGTGGCATAAAAAGTCAATTTAATAAATTACAAATGGAATTTAGAATTTTGTTTTATTATTAAATATTTTATTTGATTTTCTTCTTTTTTGACTGCGTTTTTATGTTTTTTACATAATTATTTATTTTAACATTTTATTTTTTGTAAATCATACAGTATAGTATGGGGCTTTTCGTTTATTCAGTTCTAGAATAGTTCTACCTTGTAGTACTTTCGAAAATTCACGCTACATAACCTGAAAATATTGATCGTTCGAAAATTACTGGCTGCAATAAAGTGCGTTCGTAAATTCAGTCTGCAATAAAGAAATGTTAGAAATGTAGCGCAGACCTCTAGTATAAATTTTGTTCGCTGCTCATGGATTTTTTTTTTTTATTTAAAAATCAAAAAAAAATTTAAATTTCGAAATGGCAGATTCAGATATTGAAGGATTATTAAAGTAAGTTTTCTTTAAGTCTTGAAATCTTGTTAAAATTCCCTTTTTTTGCAATTGGAAGGCGAAAAGTGCTGAAAGTTTCGAACAATTAATTATTTAGAAGTTTCATACTGTTTAACGCTGCGATTTAGAAATTTTAGTTCTAATGTAGAACTTTCAGCGCAGTGTGCATAAACCAAAACCCCTATGTCAAAAGCAATGTTGTTAATATCAAAAACACACCATCATTGAGGCGAAATGTGAAAAGTAATTAAATTGTCATGTGTTTTTGACAACACATATTTCATTTTTTGTGAAATGCATATTACAGCTTATGTATATATGCGACAGTTTAGTTCTTTGTCTATAAACATCTAGACAGATGGACTATAAAATGAAATTTAGTTTATTCACATGCAAATCTATTAAAATATATTTTTGTAAAATTTATTTAATTTACTTTGCAATGAAAGCTCTTAAAGCACATGAATAAATTTTTATTTTTTAAAAATTTTAAATGGATTTTACTGTATTTTACAAAATTCATTCAATATAAAACTCACGCGATTATTACAAAAAGAAAACATCAAATAAAATGAAAACAATAAAATGAAAATTAAAAGAATTCACAACAAAATCAAAATTATAGAAAAAAGAGTGGTCCCAAACAGATAATATTTTTTTTTGTGTGTGTGCGTAATTTTTGCAATAGGAGATAAAACCGCCTAAGTCGACCTATATGGAGATTACAATATAAAAATGTTTGAACATTCCGTTCTAAAATCAGTAATGCAACAAAATTTTATTCAATTCGTGCAGTTTTTTAATCAAATAAATCAAATAAAAATTAACAAAATGCCGTCAGAAAATTCGAAAATCTAATTAAGCTTAAAAAAATGTTAAGCTAGTTGCAGATTTTCTAAATCAAGTAAAAAATTAAATTCTTAAATAAAAATACCAACCTAAAACCGATTTGAGTTTTTCAAATTTTTCGAAATCGTCAAATTTGATTTGCTCAAAATGATTAATTTCTAACTTAAGTAATTTTATTTATTACCATTGCAGACATGTAAACGCACTATCGTAGATAAAAGTCTGTAAGAAAATTTATAATTCTTAAAAATTATGTATTGTGGAACTGTTACTGTAAATGATCGAAATCGTAAAAAAAAATGAACTATTACAAATAATTGGAAAAGTTTTCCAAAACAAAATTGAAGATTATTAACCGTTCAAATTAATTTTAATTGCCAAATCATCTATTGTAATCTTTAGTAGACAAATAGTAGACCAACACACTCCCTGCAAAAAAAAAAAAATTAAAATACATTCAAAACGTAAGCTTTACAGCTTCAATGAAAGCAGTTAAACACTCTATGTACTTTGTTCAAAAACGTTTACTCTACGTAGTTTATACGTAAAGAATACGGTATTTTTGCTGTACTAAGAAAGTTTATAAAGCATTTCGGAAGAGACCCATTTAGGCATTTTTGTTATTACTATCTAAACTCTTTTAAACGACCACATAAAACAATTTTATGGAGAAAGAAGTGATATTGTTTTTTTTTACTTTAATTTCAGATTTACACGATAACGAAATTACGTTCTTTATGCGTAACATTATTTTATATTTTATATTAAAATGATTTTATAGTGTACATTTTATTCTTTATTATAATTATATGTATGTATGTATGTATGTTTATAGTTACCTGTCCAAGAATGGTGTTGCTGAACTTGAATCAGAACTGGAGACATAACTGTGATAACCTTCTGATTGCGCATACGATGATTGCTTTTGATGATGAAATACTGGCTGATCATAATAGGAACGACTGTTGTATTCTTCAAGACCGGCTTGAGTTAAACCACATTGATCACTCATATTGTCATCCTATATACACGCATATATAAAAGAGAATAAAAATGAGAAAAAGAAAATTAATTTAAAAGTTGAAATAGCTGTATGAAAAAAAAAAATTATTTAATTTTTAAATTGAAAGCTAAAATGAAAGATGAAAAAATAAAAAGAAAAAAAAATATTGGTTTTTGTTTTTTTTTTTCAACTTACGGGCTATAAAAATTATTTTTTTTGAAGAAAAGAATTTTAAATTTAAGAAAAACTGAAAAATGAGTTACAAAAAAACAATGAAACAAAGAGAAAAAATTATTCAAACGCACGCCAAGCATTTTACTTTTAGGCTAAACACTTTTTCATAGTAATAATTGAGTGCTTTTATAATTTTAGAATATCGAAATTAATGTTAACAATTGATGCCACCATTATGAGTTAGAGATGTAAACGCAATTAAATATACATATAAGTATGTATGTGTATAAATAATTTAATTCTTTAAATTTGTAGGTTATGATGACGGTAATTACTATATCAACAAAAATGAGCAGACATAAGATAAGATGAGTGCAGACACACGGTATGTACATATGTCATATTTTTAAAGAATAATATTGATGCAATTAAATTTTATTCGAATAAATCTGGAACGTAATTTATATTATTTATGTATGTATGTTATTGTCACGCTTTTAAATAGACAATTTAAAAATTAATTTATAAATCTGAAATTAATTTTTAATTAGGTTTTCATTTCATGTAGGTTTGTGTAACTCTATAAATTCTTGTAATTTTAAAATACTTTTTTAATCACTTGCGTAGTCGGAAGCGGGTAGTGGAAACTACGCAAGTAGAAGCGGGTATTTTTAAAAGAAAACATAAAATTGACAATAAGTTTTCAGTCAATTTTGTTGTGTCAATTCAGTTGTGTCAATTTTGTTATTTCTATTTTAATTTAGATGTCAATCGCAGGTTTTTTGGTTTATTTTATACGATACATTGTAAAATATTTGAATTTTCTTTTCCAACTTATTTGTATAAATTAGTTTTTGCTGTTTTTCAATTGACAATTTTTTATTAATGAAAACTTCTGTTATTTGGCTTTAAAATGACAGATGTTCGTATCAAATATGATGGTAGTTTGAAAATCCTTATTAGACAACATTTAGACTTATAGTAAGAGCAACATTCTGTTAAATTCTATGAATTCAATTCCTGCTTGTAGAATTTTTGATAATTCATGTCTAAAATTAAAAAGTTTTAAATTCTTATTAAAAGAATTATAATTTTATTTTTATTATACGTGTAAGTATTTTATTTTCACAATATTGTTAAAAAACTATAATTAAAATTTTTATCATTCACTAAATACACACACACATAAATTATAAAATAACTTTATTGTACATATTATGTGATTGTTTTGAAGAAAAAGAATGAGGGGAAAGCTTAATTGAAATACTGAGAACACAGTTCACTTGTATAAGCACAAAAATAAGCACCAAATAATTTATTCAAGAATTTTATGTACAAAACAGAACATCTCTAATGTTCTCTCGCATATTTGTTTGTTTTCCTTTTGTATTAGTTTGTATTAAACTAATCACTTATATAACTACAAAAATAATACATTTTGTAATTAATTATTAAAATTAAAACTACAATATATAAATTTATTCAAAAATAAATTGATTTATATAAAAACTCTAGCATCTCTAAATATATGAAAATTATAATATTTTCTTGTTAATTTTTCATAATTTTTCACTAGAATGCCATCTCGAACTATTGTTCGAGAAACTTTTCCAATTTATAATTCATGCTAATGGCAAAAAAAAGTAAACATTTCTTCTTTGCCATAATAAATTATCTTTCGTGATAACTGTTATACTTTGCTATTTAAAATATATAAGTGCATATTTTAGTGTCGTATTACATAAATTATGTCAGATATTTGAAAAAATTGCAGAAGAATATTATTATTGTATAACAATGACATGATAATCATGTATATTATTTTTTTTTTTTAAATTTAATTTATAAAATTTTAACAGCATTAAATTTGAGTAACATATAGCATTTTATTGCAGCCTCATTTTCATATATAAAATTTTCTCACATAACATGCAACCGACATACCGACACACATTATAATCTACTTATATTGTAATTTTCTTTTTTAATTGTATATGAACAGGAATTTTTCATACAATGTTCAACCTATTTTAAAATATCAAATTGATTTCTGATTAAGAAAAAGTTCCTCTCTATATTACATATGAAAAAAATAATTGTATAATGATGATTTAATAATTCTTTTCTTTATTTCAAATAATCTCACACTGTATACGTCATTATGCTGTCAATGAACATCAGATTTTTTAAAGATTTTCTATCTTTGAAGCAGTGATTCTCAAACTGGCGGGGGAAATATTATCTTCTCTGTAAAATACAATTGTGTTTTAAAACAGTTTTTATGTTCTATGATGATACAATCCGAACTTACTCCTTTGTGTCTCCTTTTCACAAAACACAAATTAAGAAAATTATTACAAGATTTACGCCGCACGAAGCACCTTGTATCTATTAAACGGGCATACATATCGGCGATAATAAATGGGTTGAGGATATCAGTTCTATAATAGAAGTCAAACACAGCATTGACTGATTAGTATTAAATGCATAAGAAGGATGGACAGCACCGCTAATGATCTCAGTTAATTTCTAAAATTTTTGTAAAATGCTGTTTTTAAATAATTATACTAGATGGCATGCGTTTTATTTTCAAACTTGTATATATTATTGTTATGTATGTAACATTTATGCAAAATAATAACGTATAAATACATAATTATATTTATACAAACTGACATATTCGTATATTTAAATATTACGTGCTAAAGCAAACGTTTATAATATGCACATAATTATTGTGTTGTGCTCGTATACATATTATAATAATTACAGGCGTAGTCAATCTTATGTTCATTCAATTTTTAAATTTTCAATATTACCATTGTGATTGACAGTGAAGGCTTATAATATTTTGATTTCAATTAGAAATTGATATTATTGAAAATAATTTTGCTACCCATTTCTACTTTTATAAACATTCATACATTTGTATGTTACATACTTATTTATTTATTTATTTGTATCGTATACGATAAAAGATGCAACAGGTTTCTGTTTTTTTTTTTTTTTTGCAATATTATTGAGATTATACACGTGCATATAAACAATAATTTTTATTGCATAATTTTAAATTTTAATGGATGATTGATAATCAAATTATTATTATTATTATTTTTATGGTATAAGAAGGATTGGAATTTTAATTTTTTTGTACTATGGTAGCTATATTAATACTCGTATATATTGTATTGGTAATAATCAAAGATGAAGAAGATAAATAATAAGTATATAATGATTAACTTTTTAATCTTATATTTATAAAATTATTTTAATGCAAGTATAATGGTACACTAGCGCATTTAATATAAGATAGAGGCCATAAAATATTGTAAATTCATGTATGAAATGCATGATTAAAAAATATATTGATTAAAGAAAAAATTTCAAGTTTAGCATTTATTCATTTGAGTGATTATGAAGAAATCTTTGAATTAAATACAAAAATTTAGTAACATGATTATAAAATTTTTTTAGATTTTATTTATTAAAATCAATGATTGCTCAAATTGTTAATGTATATATGAATGTATTTTTGCATTTTGATTGAAGTTTGATTGAATAATTGAATATTTGTGATAATAGCAATGATTATTATTATTAAAATAGAAAAAATGAAGCTTAAGCTCTTGTAATATTAAACGTTTTCCTCATTATTATAAGAAAATATTATTTTTATGCACCTTTACATTTAAGATTTTATTCTTTTCATTCTTTTAATAACATTTTTTTTATACAATAAAAATCTAGTTATAGCCTGATATTAAAATAAAATGCATAATAATTTAGTAATTTCATAAAAAAAATATAGAATATCAGGTTGCGCGCTTGAATAGTAACAATGTAATTATATTCTAAAATATTAGTAGACTAACATAGAGTTAGAGGGAAGAAAAACAAGAATTTACTGTTGGCGATGATTTGTTTATTTGGGACACAAATAAAATGTAATTCTGTATTTAATTTATGAGATTTGCCTTTAACACATACTTTAATTTATTTATTATAAAAATTTATGAAAAATTTTTAAAAACACAAAATTAGTAAAAATTATTTTCGTTACCGGGTTACATTAATAATATTTTATTCTGACATTAATTATTAATTATAATTTGTAATAATTAAGGAAAGAAAATCGAAAATATAAAAGATGTATAACAAATAAATGACATTTAGTAATCGTTTATACAAATAAGAAATACAGGTTCTCCTGAAAACGCAATTATAACTTAGTAGTATTAGATTGCAGAGTGCATGTTTAATAATCATTGCTTAAACAGTAAGGCAGAGCTTTTAAAAATGTCGAACTGCAATAGCTGCTTTTCTAAAACTGACACCAATTTTGATTTGGAAATGCATGCGCATGCTGCGTTTTCAAAAAAAAAAAAACCTTAAATGAAAATTTTAAAGTTGTCTTAATTAAAATTATTCATAATAATTTATTTATAAATACACACTAACAAAATTTGTTATATAAATGTATAACAGTCGGTTACTTTGCAAAGAATAAATTTAGAGAAATATCAAAATTGTTTGCATTTTGATCTTACATGACTCATTTAGGAGCATTCATTAAACGAAGGATTCGGTAAAATTTTGTTTTTAAATGTTACAATTGAGTGAAGATCGTCTTTCAACTCGAAGAACGATTGTAAGGAAAAGCTCCAAGTTTTATTTTAACTTAAACTGATATAATAAAACTTGAAGACTTCATAACAGACCTCGAGGAGACAATATGAATAACAATGCTAACCAAAAACGGATACTTTTTTTAATGGGACTACAGGACCAAATTTAAGATGCGCAACCGAAATTTTTCCAAAAAAAAAAAAAATTGACTATTATAAA